GGAAAAATCTGAAACAGGATCTCCGTCGAGAGAGACCATCGGGCTTCCCAAGTCGATCGAACAGCTCAGAAAGACACACCGAGACATAGGAAGGAAGCGAAGGGACACCCCATGTAGGCCATGCCAACTCCGTCACGAACGACGAGCACGGGTCCCGGTCGGACATTCCCTACTGAAGCTCTCCGAACCCCATCACTCAAGTCATCAAGGTGAACACTACCAACCCCCTCTATTTCCTTATAAGCATTTCATACATCCATATGAGCATTCATTCCATACGCCCGTGCCTCCCGGATGATTCGAGCCTTGAACCGCCCGGGGGCTCGGGAACTAAGCATCGCACGTGCAGCAAAATGCATCACAACGCTCCGTGTTGCGTCATGAAGCGGCGGTTGCCTCATTCGACATAAGCAACCAATAGAGCCAGGGGAGAAAATCATAGATGAGCCTCATGCGGCCCTCGCCCGTTCGCAGACTGGGTCATCTCAACCTTCTCGTTCAATCCTGAACCTCTCGCCAAGCCCACTTAATCTCCATCGAGGGGAGGCCGTTAGGCCACCCGGGTCGGCTCTGAACGACCCAAGCATCTACCGAGTTGTAGGTAAAGGAGTAGTGGAATGTCACAAGAGGGCTGTGCCGACCCCGTCACGAACGACGAACCCGGATACCACTCGATCACACCCGTTAGCAAACTCATCGAGCGCGTCACTCGAGCCTGAGCGATCGGGACAAGCGACAAAACTTAGCCCCTCCGGTTGTGAGGAACCGAGGATGGGGTAACACACACAACTCACACCGACCCCTACTAAGGCCCAACGAGGCTCGAGGGCTCAAGACATAAAAAGCATGGGTCTGTGACCCCGATCTCGCCCCATCCGGCTATGCTTCTGACTGCGCTCCAAGGACACCTGGGTCTGCGATCCCGATCTCGCCCCATCCAGCTACGCTTTAGACTACGCTCCAAACACCTGGGTCTGCGACCCCGATCTTGCCCCATCCGGCTATGCTCCAAGGACACCTGGGTCTGCGACCTCGATCTCGCCCCATCTGGCTACGCTTCCGACTATGCTCCAAACACCTGGGTCTATGACCTCGATCTCGCCCCATCCGGCTATGCTTCCGACTGCGCTCCAAACACCTGGGTCTGCGATCCCGATCTCACCCCATCCGACTACGCTTCCGACTGCGCTCCAAACACCTAGGTCTCTGCGATCCCGATCTTGCCCCATAGCTCCGACTCACCCGATCCCATGGTGCGCATCGATGCTAGGATCAGAGAGCTCTGTCCCGTCCAAACTAACTTCCTCACCTGATCCCACGGCACGCATCGACGCCAGGATCTGTGAGCTCTGTCCCATCCAAACTAACTTCCTCACCCGATCCCACGGCGCACATCAACGCTAGGATCAGTGAGCTTCGTCTCGTCCAAACTAACTTCCTTGCCCGATCCCATGGCACGCACCGACGCTAGGATCAGTGAGTTTTTTTTATCTCAAATCTCTCAAAAAACACCTCGGTTGTACAACGACGCCTTGGTTAAAAACTCCGTCCCAACTGAACACGCGCACACACGCCCGCTACCGAACACCCCCAGACGGTTCTGCCCGAACCGCCCGGGGGCTACACCCGTGGGTGCGCGCCGTCAAAAATAAAATTCCCTAGATGATTCTACCCGAATCGCCCAGGGACTCCTGTCGGGTTTATAAACCCAGGGTCCCTCGGGGACCGGCTTCCACGCCAAGGCTCGGCCTAAGCGGGCAGCACACAACTCATGGGTCGGCCCAAGGATCTAAAACAACAGGCCAAAAGAGCGGTCCAATCACCGACCGGAAGGTCTGGCTGAAGAGGAACAATGCCCGCTCGTCGACTACTTCGGCCCACCTCTCCGATCGGAGCGCTCGCTTTGAACTCCAGCCGCCTCCGGACGGCCTCTCCGATTGGAAGGCTGGCCCAAAGCGCTACTTCCGACTCTAACCCCGCATCTCCAACCGGCGTTCGCAGAAACCCTGCTCACCACTCTTCTCCGACTGGCACGACCAGGACCGACTAGGGCCAACCGACCAGGAACACCCGCTCGGAAGGAACCAGGCGACGAACAAAAAAGCAAGCTAGGGCGCATAGAGTCAAATCAAGATACCAGGGACCATACCCTATATAGTACTCTGCATCCACCCTGACACGAACAGTATTGTAGGCGCCGACATTTCCTTCTACAATATTGTAGGCGCCGTTAACTCCCATACGGTAAGGCCCCACATGCCTCTAGGCATCGATAGTGTTGTGGGTGCCGGGATTTACCGTACCAGGTGAACATGGTGAAACTCCTCACATGCCTCTAGGCATCAACAGTGTTTGCAGGTACCGACATCTACCATTTCTGAAGAAGGCAATGCAAGCTCCCACGTGTATCTGACACTCTATAGTGACAACCAACAGTGTTGTAGGCGCCTACCATTATCTTGTACCCGCCGACATGGGCGACAGAGCCTAGTAACATACGTACCCTCACCCTCTCATTTGTAAAGCCATCCCTTTTATTTATGAAAGGGGATGCGCTTCCTCCAACAAAGAGAGCTTCTTTAGTCCTTTTGAGTAAACCAACATCAATCAAGCTCATCAGCTCACAACCACAGAACCGCCGGGTTCGTACCCCAAGCACACGCTTGAACACTTAGCTCATAGCGTAGCTCCTGTCGCTCTTGGCCCTTATGACCGGAGCCGACCGGACCTCTTTTACACCCCATCTTTCTTCTTCTCGTTTATAACCCCACTACAAACTTCGAGCACCTGGGTTCAGGAATAAAGTCACTGACCGACCCAAACTGGATGTAGGGCACGTTGTCTGAACCAGTATAAACCCTGTGTCATTGAGTGTTAGGCCACCTCCGATCACAATGTACGGCAAAACTACAAATATTTACTAGTTGGTCACATTCTGCACCAACACTGTGTCATTGAGTGTTAGGCCACCTCCGATCACAACATATGGCAAAACTATAAATATTCACTTGTGGGTCACTTTTTGCACCGACAAAAACAAATAATAAAAAAATATTCCTAAGTGGAGCATGCATGTTCTAATATAGCCGTGCAAAGAATAGTTGATGATCATACAAATTACATGGTTAGAGTTAGGACTAAGTGCAAGATGGATGGAGAGATCTCCGAGCACTGGTTTGCCAGCAAGCGCGAGAGACTTTAAGACTCCTACACAATACCCGAACATGGATGATTACAAAGGACGGACATGGCTGTCACCACTTGCCACCTACCCCTCAATCATGAAGTACCGTCATATCTGAAGGTTCCCATGCACCCGAGCACTACGCCCGTGTACAAGTAAACTACCCACATCCCTCGGGACTCCGACCCTACGGATCGACAAGCATAGGACATGGACAAACCCGAAGGAACGATGAACCCCCACCTCAACTTAGCTCTACCTCTATTTCTAATCATACAAGTCATATGAATGATTAAGCATAAAGTTCTACATGTTAAGCTCATAGCATAGAAAATATATGCTAGTTCATATGTTATGATTATAAAATGAAAACTATACTCTAGTTCGTAAACACTACTGTATAGATAAAATGAGAGCAAGACTTTGAAAGAATTCTTTATATTATTCATACCAAAGATCTTTTCTTCTAAGGAGCCAAGCTCTCCTTGATAGCTCTTGCCTTGCTCAAAAATACTACTAAAATATAAAAGGGAATACAAGTGGAGGTGAGAGGTGTAGAGCCCAAATGAGGTGTGTTGAATGGTGAGCACTACCACCTACTTATACTACTTGGTGGTCGGTTTGGCGCAGGTAAATTAGGAAACCGCCGTGAACCGACCAAGCATGCCGCCATGCAACCGCCTGAGGAGGATGGGTCTAGGCCGCACCGCACCCTAGCTAGCTCGCCTGGCCACCGCCTTTGCTAGGTGGGCTGGTGGTTGGGCCTGGGCTCCTCCCACGGTGGTGCTCGGCCCAATTTTAGCGTGTAGGTGGGCTTTTGCTTGTTGTGCTCTTGTAGAATATGCTTTACGCTTTTTGGATTGCACACTTTTGATCATATTCCCATGTATTTTATGAATAAGTCCCGCAAAACACTAAGTATCCAATACATGTGGAAATATGTCAATAGTAAAAGCATATGTGTCAAAAATTTATTTATTTATCCCGTTTTGGATATTAATCGGCGGTCGGATATGGTCATTAAAGACCGCCAACAAATCCCCCTAGCTTAACCTTTGTTCATCCCTAGTAAATAGCTAAGTACTTGGTTGTTGATTAGGGGTTGCTACTATGCCGAATATATTTCATAAGTGTCATGCATATAACAAAGTATTCTTCCGTAATTTAAATAAGTTGGTATTTTTATCCACCCTTTAACTTGATCCTTGTGGGGCGTATAGCTTTTCCAAATTTTTGGACAGTTGCAAGATAGAACGGTTATAATAGAATCACCAATCTTCTCGTGGCGGAACAACTAATTTTAGTGACAATAATCACTAATGAGGTCGTTGATTTAAGAGTAGGAAGGGAGTAAAAACGGATTAGACGAGTCGGAAGTCAAGTTGCATAAAAATCAAGACCAATTAACTTTTAGCCGCACAATTTCGTCTACTTCGTCATAATAAAAACACATGAAAACACTGCTTAAGAGTGGCTACACTGCTAAGTGCATGTTTAGTTCCCAAAATTTTGCAAAATTTTTCAAGATTTTCCGTCACATCGAATCTTTGGACGCATGCATAAAGCATTAAATAAAATAAAAATAAAACTAATTACACAGTTTAGACGAAATTCACGAGATGAATCTTTTAAGCCTAATTAGACTATGATTGGATACTAATTGCCAAATAACAACGAAAGTGCTATAATACTATTTCCAAAAAAAAATCCAACTAAACAAGGCCTAAATTTACTAATGCAATTCGTAACCTAAAGTTCCTAATTGACATGAACATATATACGTCCATAGCTAATGCTGGCACGCAGACGCAGCAGCTCAAGCAACCAGACCGACGTACTCGAGCTCCACGGGGCCTAACCACAGCTTCCCCTTTATCTCCGCCACGTCGCTCAGCGTGACGCCCTTGGCCGCCGTGAGCTCCTCGACTTCCACCCCGTCAGCGTTCAGGCGGACGCCCACCAGGTGCTTCACGGGAGCCGTCGCCGGCGTCGCATCCAGCCGCTGCTTCTCCTGGTTCAGCGCCACCCAATAGCCACCCTTGCCGTCCCGCCTCACGTTGTCCGGGTACCCCGGCAAGTCCGTCAGCAGCTCGTACTGCTCTGCCCTGGCGCCGCGGAGAAAGTACCTGAACGCCTGGCAGGGCACGTTTTCAGGGACTCGTTTGGACAGCAAATAGGGAGACTGCCCTGCCCTGGCGCCGCGGAGAAAGTACCTGAACGCCTGGCAGGGCACGTTTTCAGGGACTCGTTTGGACAGGGGAAAAATAGGTGGTAAGGTGGATTGCGAAGATACCAAGGGGATGGAGACCGATGTACGAGCTCGAACTGGGAGAAAAGCTGGAGGACGAGGTAAGCGCGTGTTTATTTTCAACCCCAAATTCTCAAAAAGTGATACAGGACTCATCACATCGAATCTTGCGATACGTGCATGAAGCATTAAATATAGACGAAAAAAAATTAATTATACAGTTTTATTGGAAATTACGAGACGAACATTTTGAGCCTAATTAGTACATGATTGAACACTAATTGCCAAATAAAAACGAAAGTGCTACAATATCCCAAATTCTCAAATTCACCCAACTAAACACGCGCTAATACAACCACCAAGAATCTGCTGGGTTGGGGGTCTGCACTCAAGCCTTTGGAACAGGACTCCTCTACTCGTCAACCTCTATTTCTATACTCTAAAAGAAATATTCTATCTTAGTCATCGAGATTCTCTACTCTATATCTATTTTTTCCGCACCCATGTTATCTCTATTACATACTCTATACCCATTATTCTATATTTTATTTCCCTCCCTCCTTCTTTCTCTCTCTCACCAACTCACGAGAGAGCGTTGTTGGTGTGGTGGACGGGATAGCGTTCGTCTCCCACTGTGCTAGGTTTGGAGATGCCATGTAGCAAACGGAGAGATTGAGGATGAAATAGAGAGCAGCAGTGCGAGCCTTTCCTCTGTATATTTCCTACAGGCTCGGTTCCAGGCGCGCGGTGCGGACAGTCTGATTCAGTTTGAGTTCGAGAGAGGGCTTAACTGTAATAAGCTTCATAGCGGTGTCGAGAACTAGCGTTTGTCTTTGGACCTTTAGGTCTCTTTTCATTGTTGGTTAAACTTTGACGGCGCGCGCCTATACGCTGCGCTGAACTTGCTGAACGTTTATGCTCATGAATACACAATCAATAAATCTGGAGCCTCAACTTTGTTATGCACAACTTCCCCTGTGGAGGAGAAGGAAAAGGTCACACAATTACATCAGAATATAAATTCATATACACATGTATAAAAAAAATGAAAAACGAAAAACAATTATAACGTTACTTACACGAACGAACAAAACTGTATACTTTGAGCGGGTATCACGCCTAAGCTTCACATGAACTAGGCCGTGTGTTCATGAAGAACAAGTAAAAGAACAGAACACAAGAAACAAGCGAGGTGCCCCGTAGCTCTCCGTCCAGGTCCAGCAGCGGAATTGGAGGAGGTACCCGTGTGCTCCCTGCGCTGAGGAAGGCTGGGCGACGGTTTGTGGTCCACCGCCCGTGGAGATTGCAGCGGCGATCCCGCCGTCCGTGGCGATTCTGCTGGTGCCGGCGCTAGGATTGGGGCTGGGGCTGGGGCCGGGGCCGGGGCCGGGACTGGCACCGGCGCTGCCGCTACCACCGCCGCGGCCGCGTAGTGCTGCTCGTCGCATACTCCCACCCAATCCCCCGGCGGCGTAGGGAGCGTCGAGCCGGGCGTCGTCCCGCTCTCCACCTGAAACACCATGCCCAGGCCCATGGGCACGTGCGGGTCCAGGTGGCAGTGAAAGAACCACATGCCTGCGTTGAGTCCAAAATTTCAGCCCACTCGTTGGGCTCAAAATGTAACAGTAGGCCCATATGTATATCTTCTGGACTGAATCTACAGAAGAAGGGAGTATATTCCTACCTGGATTGTTCGCGACGAACCGGATGACGGCCCAGCCACCGCCGGCCACGGCGATGGTGTTGCGGGCCACCGGGTCCACCAGGTTGTAGGCCACGCTGCCCGGGGTGAAGCTGCCCATCCCCTGCGCCAGCACGAAGAAGTTGAAGCCGTGGAGGTGGATCGGGTGGTTCTCCGTCGGGACGGCCGCCGGGTTCTGCAGCACGATCTCCACCACCGAGTTGTAGCTGAGCTTCTTCAACCTGGTCCCCACCGTCATCGCCGTGCCGCTCGGCGGCGGGCCGTCCGGGAAGTCGGCCGTGAAGACCCCCGTCACGCCGTTAACGTGTGCCCCCAGGAGAGACGTCTCGGGGGACGGGAGGCGGAACGAGACGCCGTTCATTGCCGCCGCCGCCGCGGTCCCGTTGCACCTCGTTTGCGACGCGTCGCAGGGCAGCTGGCCGAGGCCCAGTTCGATGGTCATGCTCACGTCCACCGGCGACGGCACCGCGGGCGTGCCCAGGCCCCTCAGCCCGAAGTAGAAGGCGTTGGCCGTCCCGGCGTCAGAGCTGGACGGCATGGTGGGCATCGCGGGCGGGTTGGTGGACGTGCCGTTGTACTGGAAGATGGCGGTGGCGGTGGTGGTGTCCGACGCGGCGAACGTCAGCGGGCTCATGGTGTCGTGCGCCAGCACCGCCATGTAGTAGCTCCCGGGCGCGGCGTTGGTGGTCACGAGCGCGTCCACGGTCTGGCCCGGCGCGAGCACGAGCGTGTCCGTGTTCAGGTTGGCGGTGTAGCCTGCGTCCACGGCGACGACGGTGAAGTTGTGGCCGGCCACCTTGATGAAGAGGTGCGAGTTGAGGCCGGCGTTGACGACCCGGAGCAGCACCCTTGTGTTGGGCTCCACCACCGCCGTGAACGTCTCATCTATGCCAAATCAAATGAAGCGGTAATATAATTAAGTAATTTACAATTTAAAATCTCACTGTCACTGTATGCAATTTACAATTTCACCAAGTGTTCGATGACGCGATGCACACGTACTTGCGCACTGGTACAGCAGGCCGGTTTTGCCGTTAACTGTGAACGCGTCGGACTGGGTGGGAAGCTGACCGGCCAAGATGGCGTCGCTCTCGACGTCGACCACATTGCGGTTCCACCACTCGCCTGTTCATGACAACCTCATCCAGAGACAAGAAACGTCAGATTCTTCTTTTGTGTCCTCGATCACCAACGAGCTATCTATCAGATATGCACGAGCGGCGCGCGCGGCTGGCAGTGCCAAGCCAAGCGGCAGTCAAGAATGCAGTACAGCGCGGCAGCTAGCAGTTACCGAGCACGATGGGGACCTCCTTGTCCGGCGCCGGGAAGGGGTAGGCGTTGCCGCGCCTGGGCCGGATGATGAAGGCGCCGTACACGGTGGCGCGGAGGAAGGAGGAGTGCGCGTGCCACCACAGCGTGCCCTCCTGCCCCGGGACGCTGAACCGGTACGTGTAGGAGCTGCTGGGCTGGATGGGGCACTGCGTCACCATGCTCGGCCCGTCCGCCCACGGCGTCATGAGCTGGAGCACACCATGCCTGTCAATTCTCCCAGCAAGCACCCACAGTGTTAGGCCAACTCTGCTAGTACTACAAGATTGCTGGATTCAAAGTTTCAGACTCAAGTGGTGCCGTGCCGTTACTGTCCAAGTGCTCTGAATAGACCATTGCTGTGTCTTTCAGGTGCAAAAGACAGTGTGAAAACCATACAAATTCTTCTGTTATTAGTGGAAGTGCTCATAATAACTACTAGTAACAGTCTAGATTAACCTCCATTACGTTTCTGGGTGATTCTGACGTTAAGCCAATCCTGAGTGTCCTAAGTGGAGTTTATATGGCACTCCATGTCTCACTTTTTTGTGAGCTTTTTGGATGCACTCTGTTGTAAAGATAGACCGTATCATGTTTCGAAAAAAAAAGATAGACCGTATCATTTTTACACTTGCGAATATTGGGATGAGCATCCATACAGTTGCAGGCTTATGTTTCGACAGGTAAGATGTCCTATTCAGAGGCTTCACTTTCGGCTTCTGGATGGAGGCTAAGAAAAATCAGATAATCCTATCAAAACCATCACACCAATGATCCAATAAAACGCTGGGATGGCAGGTTCCTTACGGCACCTTGTACATGTCTTTGATGTCGCAGCCGACTTTGCTAACAGAGCAAAGAACTCATAGCAACTGTAATGCTGTCTTTTTGACAAAATAAACCTAAGTTGTCTTTTCATTTTTTTATATAAAAGAGTTGAAATTCATGTACAGGCGTAATAGGGGCGTCGGTGACTTGACGACTTCTACTCGTCGAATCTGACCGTTTCAAGAGAGGATGTCAGGAAACATGGGATGTGTTGAGGTTGTAGTTTTATTCTTTTTTTTTGGCTATGTGTTCTACTCTTTGTCGAGGTGTGCGTTTATATCTTTTTGGCTGTTTATATCTTTAGTGGATATAGAGGCCGGATTATTGAATTCATTATTAAAAAAATGTACAGGCCTGCCCTGCTGTTTTTCGACAACAAACGCGAAGATAATGACAAAGAAGAAGAAGCTTCTCGAGTTGGAGTATAGGAAGTTACCAGTGGATGGTTACGTTGTATGGCGAATTGTTGACGACTTTGACGGCAACATCATCACCTTCGTTCACTTCTATCGACGGGCCCGGCAGCTGCCCGTTCACCGCAATAATGCTGGTGCTGCTGCATAGCTGATTGATTTGCATGCTCCCCACCTAATAACAACATTTTACAGATAAGCATACATACCGTTTCAACAAACACGCGCAAAATTGCGTGTCCTCGAAAAGGAAAGCTAAGCATGTCGTCGTTCGCGAGCTAGGGAGGGACCGCTGGCCGTGCTGTGCTGTGCTGTGCATTGCAGATAAGGATATTCTATCAAATCCTAGCAACTGAGCTCTCCCAACAACCAGCGAGTTCAGAGTTTTAGGTGTACGATTTCTCCATTTTTGTCAGGGATAAGGCCTAACCTGATGCTGAGTTCATGATAAGCTAGCTAGAGTGAACCTCACGCGCCTAACAGCTTGTTCTTTCATGGAAGCACAACTGACTGAGACTGAGACAAGTTGGTCTGTCTCTTCTTGCCAAAAGCTTCAGTTTCTAAACTCTACCAGATGAACTGAGACTGATCGATATAACTCGAATGCATGGAGATCGAAGGGAGAAAGAAAGAGAAGTACTGTGAACGTGTATTTCGCCGTCGCCGCATCCGCCACCGGTCCGACGAGAAGAATCGCGAGCGCGAGCGCCAGCAAAAGCTGCACCATGGATGGAAAAAGGTCGAGCAGAGTCCGGCAGAGTCAGAGAAGGGAGGAAGACGAAGCAGAGGCAAGCAAAGCTATCTTAGTGCGTGCGACATGTGTAGCGCGATCCAAAGGAACACGATAAGTATATATACAACCGAAGGCTTTCTTTCGGCAAGTTCTGGAGGAATGACTTGGATAGGATTCCCGTATATATGGCCAATTTCCGTGACCGCGACATAAAGCTTGGCTGGCTTCTCTCACACACACGCTCCTGTTAAGTGAGGTGTTAGTGCCCCCGAATTATTTTATGCGACGGCCTGATCGAAATGACACCTCGGCCACTGTCTGACCGTTGGCTTGTTCATGCTAACTCCGTTTGCAGTATCAAATCCGTGGGAAATCCAATGGAACAGTGTCGAATTCTGTTTCCTGGCTAGATTTGCTGACACGTTGCGGTGGCGTTTTCATCAGAGGCAATCAGGTGTTTTACCTCTGCACACAAACACAACGGAAATTTAGTTTTCTGACCAACTGTCGTGCACATGTTCGTTTAGGCTTGTTTGGCTTATAAGTCGTACTTTTCACCAACGAATAATATTTTTCTCTCATATCAAATCAGCCAATAGTATTTTTAGTGGCTTATCAGCCAAACAAGCCCAAGCAAACAGTACGAACTTGGTTTTGCAATCAGGGCGGCATATAGGAAAACAATCAGGGCTGGGGAAACCATTATTGCAAGAATAGCTAATCGCATGCCTCCAAATCGCCTTTCGGGTCAAGAAAAGCAGCTCTGAACGAAGCTGAACCAGGTAACCCTACCTAGCCTGTGATATGAAGCTCCAAACTTGGAGCTTAGCTATTATCTAGATAATAGTTTACTCCAAAAAGAATTTCAATTAAACACCCGCATTTGGTCGGGCAGATTTGGATTCATTGGACATTTGGCATTGATGTGCTGTCAAAGATATACTAGTAGCCAACAACACAGTAGTTGTACTAGGGCAGCTGAAGGTGTATATTTATGTACTCCACCATGGAGTATGGAGTCGGTGAACAAAAGGGCGGCAGGCAGATTAAAAGAGCTTATCACAGTTAGACCTTGTGAAGCAAAGAATCTCTCCCCTGCTCTGCTCCGCTGAAGAAGTTGTGTTGTGATTACAGTCACGCATCACGGGCCAATAGCAAACAAGAGGGTGTACATCTGTACCGCACGAGATGGCACCAAAAGAGGAAAAAATGACCTGAAAATCATGTGGCGTGGTGGATCGGGGAAAGTCTATCTTCACGGGATAACGCCCTGATGTCTATGCATACGGGCGAGAATTCATCACAAAGTCCATCATCCTTCCTGTGGGGATCGGGATACCCGTTTCCCCGTGCGTATGCGTCCGAGAGGAGAGGCCGAGAGGATCCAGAGTGTACTATGCATAGACAACCCTGACGGCTGCGCACAGCCGCACAGCGCCGGTCCACCCTGTACGGTTGCCTGAAGAAGAAACAATCAGATGTATTCTGTTCTTTTTTTAATATATATATATATATATATATATAATATATAATATAATATAATACAAGTGCGTATGTATGCGCTGGAGACGCGGTATGGCAACCTTGAATTGAGCACAATACAACTATACAAGGCCCCGTCCGTTTCAAGAATTAACACACTTTGTTCCGTTTTGATCCGTCACATTTTGTTGCTTCATGATTCGTCAATTCAGTATGTGCATTATTATACTCCTTCTGTCACAAAATAAGTGATGCTTTAGGGTTATCTTAAGTCAATTTATTTCAAATTTGACCAAATTTACAAAAATTACTAATGTTTATGATACCAAATAAGTATCATTATATTTATCATGAAATATATTTTCATATTATTCCTATGCGGTGTCATAAGCATTGATTTTTTTTCCTATAAACCTAGTCAAACCTGAAATGGTTTGACTTTGGACAAACCTAAAACATCACTTATTTTGGTACAGTGGTAGCACTTAATAGAGTCCAAAGCACGCCGAAACACGGGGATAAGTCGTTCGCTAGAGATTTGTTGAAAATGTCGCGGGAACAAAACGCACACCAAGCCAAACTTGCGGCAACACCTGTTCTGATCCAAACTATTCGCTAACTTCTCTACCGAATTGAGAAAGGGATGTTTCTTCAAAAAAAAATTGAGGAAGCGAGTTTTATTATCATCAATTAAGGAGTTCAAAAAGATACTTCTCAGTCGAATTTCTAAATTATTATTCATAACAATTTTTGCATAGCTCATAGCTGAACCAAATAGACCCATATATGTTTCATACGGGCTTTAGCCAAAAACTAGAAGGTATAAATTGGACTTTAGCTTACTTAAACTTGTAGTTATAGGAGAAACTTTTACTTGAATTGATGTTTTCGGTATGCTTGGTCGTTTAAGTCCCCACACATTCAAGCAACGCTTCAAATCATTTTAGGGATTAGGTGGCCGATTTTTAAAATTAGAAGTGTGAAATCGGTATGGACTAAAATGCAGTTTATTTACGACCAGAGAACATGCAATAGCTTCAAATGTAAGGGTCTGGCGGCTTGCAACTGAAACCGCTCTCAAATTAATTATTTCAGGGTCCAAAATCAATCAGGGATGGCATATAACTAATAGAAAACAGGTGGTGCAACCGCAAAGAACATGGTAGCGGGTGTAGTATATACTTTCATCACCCGAACAGGAACAATCGCAAACTCAGATCATCATAATATACAGCTTATTCTTCTCGTCCGAAACATTTTACTTTTGTTGGCTGTATCCGTGGTCCCGTCGCCAGCTGGTTCCATGGCTGAAACTGAAACGTACACGGCACACGCACACCGGAACAGCCTCAGCACTGCGGGAGGTCCGGCGGCGGCGCCGGCAGCTTTGTGTTGGGCCCGTCCTCCACCTCGAACACCATCGCCAGGCCGATCGAAAGGTGAGCGTCGATGTGGCAGTGCATGAACCACATTCCTGCACGTATGCATGCACCAAGTTTTGTACCATGTCAATATTTCCGTAAGTATTTCGTCCCTCCGAAGTCCAAAAACTATATACAGAGTATGGCCCCGTTCGTTCGCTGAAAAAACAAGTTCAAACATTGTTCCGGCTGATTTGTTGTGAGAGAAAAATATTATTCCGGCTGAAAAAACAAGCTGAAAAGTATGGATTATAAGAGAAGTAAACATGACTACAAGAGAAGCGAACATGACCATGTATACGATGAGATTCTTGGAACAAAATTGAAGAATTTCTTGACGTGACAGAAGGATAGCTAGCACTAGCAGCCTTCTCCAATAAAGAAAGCACGATTCTTTTTTTTATATTAAGAAAGCACGATTCTTTTTTTTAAATAAGAAAGCACGATTCTATCTATAGTCTAAAAAGAAAAGAAAAAACGTGATTGCGTCCTATACACATCATCCTTGGGGTGGACCACTCTACTGTAGCCGTAGGCCCAAATTCTCTTCTACCTTATCTTACGTTAGTGGGCCGCCGCCGCCTCCCAACCCAATACAACAGTTGCCCAACCCACTCCCTGTTTCTTGCTTTTTTTTTTTTTAACGGACCTGCGTGCTCCAGAAAAGAATATATTTCATTCAGTTTAAAATCATCACGAGTTTGACTTTGTATCCAAATCCTGACCTCAGCGTGAAGTGTGTATGGCCCAACCACTACACGAATTTGTTGTACAAGTGTTACATCAACTGAGTTGCGGCCATGCAACGATGTTTTTTAGTCAAGTTTAAATTATACCCTTTTTTTGACGGAGGTGTTTAAATTCTGTTAAATTATCCCTTATCCCGCCGTCATAAAATACGTGCAAATCTCAGTTGAAAAACGACCGAATCGAAGCACCGAACGAGATGGGTTTTATTTTACCTGGGTTATCAGCTACGAAGCGGATTACGGCCCACCCGCCGGTCGGCACCGCGATGGTGTTCCGCTCCTGCGGGTTCACGAGGTTGAACTGACGCTCCGCGGCCGTGCCGCCGTCGTAGTTGGCGAACCCCTGCGCGAGCACGAAGAAGTTGAACCCGTGCAGGTGCATCGGGTGGCTCTCGCGCCCCACCAGCGCCGTGTTCTGCAGCACCATCTCCACCGTCGCGTTGTACGCCAGCGTCCTCACCTTCGTCGACGGCTCCCCTGGGAACAGCAGCGCCGCGGCGACGCCGCCCAACAACCGCTTCGTCTGGTTCGTGTAGTCGAACGCCACGGGCGGCTGGTCGGGGAAGTCCGTTGTGTACACGCCACCCGGTGTGTTCCGGTACCGCGCGTCGAGCATCGACATGGCCTTTGGGAGCACGAACGACTGGTTGTTCATGGTGGCCACGGGCACCGTGCCGGCGCTGCTGCTGCACGACGTCTCCGTCGGTTTGCAAGAGGCTAGGCCGAGCCCGATCGTGACGAACATGCGGGTGTCGACGGCGAGCGGAACGGTCCGCCTGCCTGGGCGGACGAGCGCCGTCAGGCTGGTGTAGAACCTGTTAGCCGTGGCCGTGTCGGTCGGTTCAGGTATCTCGGGCAGCGCCGGCGCCTGCTGGCCGCCCGACGCCGCTCCGATGTACTCCACGACGGCCGTGGTGATGTTGGTGTTGTAACTCCCTGGTCGCAGGGGAACCGCGCTCTGGTACGAGGAGATCACCATGTAGTAGCGGCCAGGGGACGCGTCGGCCGCCATGAGCGCGTCGACGGTCTGCCCCGGCGCGATGACGATCACGTCCGTCTTGTACTGCGTGGTGTAGCTGGCGTCCGCCGCGACGACGGTGAACGTGTGCCCGGCCACCTTGAAGAAGAACGCCGTGTTGAGCGCGGCGTTGATGATCCGCAGCAAGTAGGTGGAGTTGCCACGCACCTCGAACTTTTCGATTCCTGCATGCAACCGAATGTGTACATGCTCTCAGTGATCTCGGCCGATGATGGACACGACCCGCATACAGGTGTACGACGATTAGCCCGGCCGGCGCTTACGCTTCGCCGTCGTCTCACAGCTGTAGGAATCCCCGGGGCTTCCATTGATGGTGTACGCGTCGGCGACTGATGCGTTGGGAGCGACGGTCTCGGCGTTCCACCACTCGCCAAGAAGGACGGTCTTCTCCTCGTCCGGCGCCGGGAAGGGGTAGGCGTTGCCGCTCCTCGGCTTGACGATGAGGGCGCCGTACACCGTGGCGCGGAGGAAGGAGCTGTGAGCGTGCCACCACAGCGTGCCCTCCTGCCCCGTGATGTTGAACCTGTACGTGTAGCGTCGGCCCGGGCAGATGGGGCACTGCGTCACCATCGACGGGCCGTCCGCCCACGGCGTGCCTCGCTGGAAGATGCCATGCCTGCCGAGAAGCGAGAACCATCCGGCGGCTGAGGATTCGGGCGGCGGCATGCGGTGATCTTTTTTGTTGAAATCGTGGCCGGACATGGCTGTTCAGCTACTACGTGCGTACCAGTGGACGGTAACGTCGTGTGGAGAGTCGTTGATGACGTGGACCACCACGGTGTCTCCTTCGTTGGCTTCGATCACGGGACCGGGTACTCCGTCCACGGCGGTGATGCTTATATTGCCCGGCTGGCAGATGCACGGCCAGGATAATCTAGCCACCTGAAAATTTTGTAGGATATATACCATGTTATATGAGAGATATATGTAATATATGATAGTTGAATGTTAGGCTAAAATTTTCGCAAAAAGAAAAGAAAAGAATGCTAGGTTAAAACATTGATCAACAAAAATGACACAACTTGTCTGGAACTCTAGATACAGAGAAATGGATGCCTAGAATTCTGCAAAGGGAAATAGCGCTTCAGTTTCTCTGAAACTTTGATATGTGTCAGGCAATTACTAATTAAGCTAACTGCGATGAGGATCTAAGTTAAAAAAGAAAACTGTGGTAAGAGTAAGAGAGTACATTGAAGGTATGCTCCACAGTAGCAGCTTGAGCAAGGGCTGCAGCAGAACACACAGCTAACAGTAGGATCATCCGAGAGCACGGCATGCTGGAGAATTGGAGTTTTGTTGCAAGGCCGCAGCAAGTACTCAGTAATTAGTTGCTGTTGTCTGGACTTCACTCAGCTGCAAGACAAGCATGGAAAACTAACAGGTACTACTAGCTAGCTAGCTAAGTAGCTACAGATGATTGGAAATGCAATCCAAATGCCTTTTATACATGCCTGAGTTGACACAGTCAGGGACTGGGATGTTTTCTCTAGCTCCTGCGTGATTTTTCTGTTACCGGTTACTGGAAAAAAAAAATGCCATCCATATATATGCTTACTCCCAAGCAAGACTGCTGCTATCTCCAAGCTAAGTCAACTTGGGCATGAGCTGAAAGTTCTCCGGATCGTGGCCGCCAATAAGCCATAACCTTGCGGCAACTGTCACCGTGATGATGGCACCCTAAGATTGTTCTGAATTCTGATGATAAACAACTAACTACTTCCTAGATTTGACCTGCATGACATGATGCCTTGTGCTTTGCTTACTTCCCCAGACCGGAATCATACTGTCCACTAATTCTCACTTTTGGAGCACATATATTTCTGGTACCATGAACTACTTCCTAGACTTTAATTTGCCGGTTTAGTCGGTTCATGACTATTAGTTTCTATGACTGGACTTTGAGCTTCGGATGATGGTATATCTGTGTATCCCCACACTTTACCCCCAAAAATCAAATACTCCTGCTCTATCAGTAACCTGTAACCACCAGTGACAGGCTTGTATATGATATTGTATGGCAAAGTGTAGAGTTTTACCATTAACTCAAAACCGAAACAAAAGTTCAGTGGCATCATTATTGATTGGCCATACATGTACAGTCAAACAGTCTTCAGAAGAAATATCCACTGGCCTGTTCAAGTTCTTTCTGGATCGGAATTAAACTTTCTTTGTTGAGCGACTTTTTCTTTGGTTTCTTCGGTTTGAACAGAATATTTGGCTCACTTTGTAAACATCTGACCTGTATATATAAAAAAACAAACCTATGCTAGCTTTCAAACCAATAAACGCTAAACTATATGGAATGCAGGACATTAGATGCACATATATCCGTTAAAATTGCAGCAAAAGATTTATTTTCCATGGTTTTTCAATAGGCAGTAGTAGTGTAGTAGCACGGTGGCAACTGGCAACCATAGGCGCAATGCTAGTTGTCATTTTGCTTCGAGGAGGAATCCTCCTCTTCGCACGTCACCATGGTACTCCTAACACCGAAAAGGACCAGAACGACAAGACTCCTGCAGTATTTACAAATTACAACAATTATTGAAGCCATTTACAGCTAGTGGTGGTGACTGCGTACGTACGTACGTAGAACACGAGTGCAAGACATTTGTGCAGGCTACCTACTGCGTGTCTGGTGTCTGTGTCTCTGTACTAACGACTCCTTGGTTGCCGTCACTTAACGCAGATGACTGAGACTGGTAAGCACGTGAATCACCCCCGTTCATGCATTGCTCATTTCGTGTAAACCTGGAATACTAGGAGAATCTTTGTGTTCATTTTGAACAACCTCCATCAATGCATCAAATTGTACGTATCGGAAGCTTTTTACATTTGCATGTGCTTTTATGCTGCTCAGAGTATCTCCAGCCGTCTCCTTTTCTAACCCTTAATGAGAAAAAAAACTGTTATTTTAAAGATCTTGTATCTCCAGTAGTTCTCCAAACCTAAAACTAATGATATTTTTTTCCTCAGTCCATCAAATCATAAGCTCCCACCCCTCAAATAAAGGGGAGATCTCTTCTCACTCAATTTACTATTTTTCTCACTGAGAATTGGATTTTCTCATTCTGTTAGAGAGAAGACTTTCAAAATCATAAAACACGTTTTATATCTCCCCTAATAACTAGTTTTTGGAGTTAGAGTTTTCTCCTACTGCTGGAGATGCTCTTAGGCATTAAGCATTCATTTGCTCTAGAAGTCCACGGCCGGAGTAGGGAAAGTTTTTTTTTAGCTTTTGATTAGTTGCTTTTCTGAGTCTGAAAAATTTGCTAGTTGCCACTAGCTGAATTGCAGCAAGACAGCAATAATCCGTCGATATCTCCACCTACGTACTCCCTGACTTGCCTATCAGGGAATAATCGGTGCTGCGCGCGTAATCTGAGTGGCTACAAAGAACATGTCTTTTTAGCTTGTGAGAGATCATCACTGTATAAATCACTGCTACGCGCGTACAGTGCTAGTGGCGTGCCTGTGGTTGGAAGTCAATGAAAGAGCCGGTGATCAGACATGATGAAATGGATTTTTGCGATGACCAGTACTTGTGCTCTGGGAGGTGAAGGAAGGTGTAAGAAACGTTGATGGAGAAAATGTAGGTCCTGTGTTGTTTTATTTACCCACTAGGCAAATAACTTCCGTCGTGTCAATGGTTGTTGGCAATTGGCATTAGAAAGCAACCACAAGTCTCGAAAAAAAAACCCAAAGAAAGCAACCACAAGTACACAAGTGTACAGTGTATATATATATATATATATATATATATATATATATATGTGATCCTTTTCACCATCACGTAACAAATCGCACATCATCTTGCACCTACTACATAGCGTTAGCCGTTAGCGTAGCAACCGATTGTTCTTATTTAAATGTTTGAATTGTTGAGCTATACGTCAATTTGATCATCGATTGGTCGTGCAGAAGAAATCAATAATTGGAGATAATAAATCTGTGCAGTTGTGGCTGTTTGTAATACTAGCTACAGTAAATAGTAATTGTTTCCTTGCAGCCACATGCTGAAGTACGATGTAATTGTCGGTGTTCTTTCATTGATCCAGATGTATTTTGGACTAGTTCCGGAACGTTAAATCTTATGGCATGTCCAATGTTTTGACTTGATCGTTGGATTCGTAATAAAGGCTACACTACTAGTTGCGGTGGCTCTATTCATCTAGATAGAATATTACATCTTTTTTATTTCAGATTTTTTTTCATATGTAATTTGGGTCAAGTTTTAATAGTCCATCCGTCCACAAAATAATGCAACTACGGGTTGCGTGTCGGCAAAAGTAGTCCAAATTTGTTCAAATTTCTAGTGAATACTATTTATATTTACGGCTCCAAAATAATTTATTATGAAAATATATTTCGTAATTATCTAATGATATATTTGATATCATGAATATTAATACTTTTTGTATATAATTGATCGAAGTTAAGATACTAAACCATGAGATTGTACTATAATTGCATTTTTTCTTGGATAGAGGGAGTACAATTTTTCTTTCCTTAAAAATAGAATAATATTATTTTAAGGATGTAGCGTTTTTAGGTAAATGTGAACTAAAGTGTCCACTGGATGATTAAACTTTTTTTTATCTGCTAGCAATGTGACATTACTTTCCATGTCCTGTAGCTTAGGATGACTGACTTTGAGCTTAGGATGATGTATCTCTATATTCTCTACTAGTACTCAGTAGCCTGCAATAATCCAAATGTGATCAGCTTGTACTTTTTTTTCTTCGGAAAAAAATTGTGACCAGCTGGTATGATATTATGTCGCGGAGTGTAGAGTTTTTTTTCCCGATCAACGCGAAGTGTAGAGTTTTACCAAGATTAACTCAAAACCAAAACAGATTAACTCAAAACCAAAACAAAATTTCAGTGTACAATGGTTTCTTTCATTTTTTTCGTATGCAAAAAATGCCACTTCCGTCGATTCGGGCTCTACTTGTCCGTCAAGCAGCAGTGACCAGCTGGTATGTTATATTTTTTGAGCATGTCGCGGAAACTAGTAGAGTTTTTTTAATTTCCCGAAAAACGCGATGAGTTTTCTAAGATATTTAATCATATCATATCATATTTTTTGAATTAACTCAAATATGAAAACAGATTAACTCAAATTTGAAGTCGTTAAAAAAAAAAATTAATAAAATTTCAGTGCGGCGTCAATGGTTTCTCATAAATGTAGAGTCAGTCCAGTAGAATATTATATATTTTATAATGGCATACAGGGAAAAGTCTCTAAATGTAGAGTCAGTCCAGTAGAATATCCAAATCAATGGGCCAATTCAAGTTCTTTCTGGAAACTTATTTGTTGAGCGACCTTTTACAGGTTTCTTCGGTTTGAACAGAATATTCGACTCACCTTGTAAAGACCCGATCTGTATCAAGTGGCAAATCTATGTTTCAAAACCTAAATGCTTGGCAGTATGCAGTGCATGCATGACATATATACACCCATTAAATTGTCATACATCTATTTCCAGTTCTTTTTAATATGTATTAGCATAAGACGGTGGTAAACTGGCAAGTGGCAACCATAGCTTTGATAGCACCATATGTATAACATTATCTTGTAGGGTCGCAGTGTTAGCTGTCATTTTACTTCGAGTAGGAATCCTATATATTCACATGCCGACATGGTACTAAACTACTAGTAATAC